TGATACCAAAGCCAGGCAAAGACAATACTAAGAAGGAAAACTATAGACCAATATCCCTGATGAACATAGATGCAAAAATCCTCAACAAAATATTGGCGAACTGAATACAGCAATACATTAAAAAGATCATACACCACAATCAAGTGGGATTTATACTAGGGACACAGGGATGGTTCAACTTCTGCAAATCAGTCAATGTGATACACCACATTAACAAAACGAGGAATAAAAACCATATGATCATCTCAATAGATGCAGAGAAGGCTTTTGACAGGATCCAACATCCATTTATGGTAAATACTCTCAACAAAATGGGTATAGAAGGAAAGTACCTTAACATAATAAAGGCCATTTATGACAAACCGACAGCCAACATCATACTCAATGGGGAAAAACTGAAAGCATCCCTCTGAAAACAGGGACAAGACAAGGGTGCCCACTCTCGCCACTCTTATTCAACACAGTACTGGAGGCTCTGGCCAGAGCAATTAGGCAAGAAAAAGGAATAAAAGGAATCCAAATAGGCAATGAAGAAGTGAAACTCTCACTGTTTGCAGATGACGTGATCTTACATATATAGAAAACCCTAAAGAATCCACTGGAAAACTATTAGAAGTAATTAACTACAGCCAAGTGGCAGGGTACAAAATCAACTTACAGAAATCAGTTGCATTTCTATATACCAACAACAAACTAACAGAAAGAGAACTCAGGAAGACAATCCCATTTATAATTGCAACAAAAAGAATAAAATATCTAGGGGGCCGGCCCGGTGGCGCAAGTGGTTAAGTGCGTGCGCTCGGCGGCCTGGGGTTTGTCGGTTCGGATCCCAGGCGTGCACCGATGCACTGCTTGGCAAGCCATGCTGTGGCAGTGTCCCATATAAAGCGGAGGAAGATGGGCATGGATGTTAGCCCAGGGCCAGTCTTCCTCAGCGAAAAAAAAGAGGAGGATTGCCAGATGTTAGCTCAGGGCCGATCGTCCTCAAAAAAAAAAAAAGAATAAAATATCTAGGAATAAATTTAACCAAGGAAGTGAAAGACCTATACAATGAAAACTATAAGACATTATTGAGTGAAATCAGTGATGACATAAAGAAATGGAAAAATATTCCATGCACTTGGATTGGAAGAACAAACATAGTTAAAATGTCCATACTACCTAAAGCAATCTACAGATTCAATGCAATCCCAATCCGAATCCCAAGGACATTCTTCACAGAAATAGAACAAAGAATACTAACATTCATATGGGGCAACAAAAGACCCCATATAGCTAAAGCAATCTGGAAAAAGAAGAACAAGGCTGGAGGCATCACAATCCCTGACTTCAAAACATACTACAAAGCGACAGTAATTAAAACAGCATGGTACTGGTACAAAAACAGACACACAGATCAA